TGTCACTATCGCGTTGAAAAAATTGAAAACAATAAGATACTAATATTAAACAGTAAGTAAAAGGATAAATAAAAACCAAAAACATTCCAGAGCATAAATTAATAGGCCTCTGGTAGATAAAGTGTTTCAACGATATCTCATCGATCATGCCATAAATTTGTACGCCATTTCAAATTGCAGATCCGCTTGTCTTGACCGCGATGATTAAAAATAATCAGCCAATATTGCGAAATCGAGCGATTCACGGCTTAAAATAAATCTTTTAGAATATTTCAAAATCATAAGATTCTAAATTTCAATGGTGAACACGATAGAACACGTAATGAGCGTCAGAAACAAACAAAAAGACAGCGCTGCTACACATCGACAAACAAATCTGTTTGCTCGTACGTGTGTTGTCCCGGCGATTAAAAATTGTTTACGTATGCCCGGACAACAGATACGCGCCGTAACGCCAAAATATTTGTCGTGGAAAATTTTGCGGCTCCCCCAGGCCGCTAATCTACAACTTATATCCTTAATCACCGAGATTTAACCCTTAACTATTGTGTATGTGTGAATGTTCCTGGCAATTCGAGTAAAGGATTTTTTATAACATTTTTATAAAGTAACAGTAGAAACACGCATTATCAGAACATCGAGATTACGTTATCATTAACAATAGAAATGATGTAATTAATTAACTCTACTGTATTCCTCAATTTATATATACCACAACATAATACACTGAAACATTATTTTTTTAAAATAAAAAGAATCTAGTAACAAATTTAAAAAAGAACTGAGAAAAAATTATAAAAATGAAAAGATGGTTGGATCAAAAAAACCCGAAGAACACAGAACGGTTAACATAAAATATGGTTTCCGAAAATTTCATATTATATAAATAGTACTATATAACGTTTGTGAAATCACTTAAAATTTTCTTTCGCTCTCGTTTCGTTTCCTCTATAAATTCTGCTCCCTCTATATTACGTACCCCTTAATCAGAGCCCGGTGTCCAATTACAGAAATAAATAAATAACTGCAATGAACATTAGCTGTTCATGAAATTTACCATAGTAATAGTATAACTTTTACCGACTATAGTAATTACGATTTAATTTCTCTTGAAGCTACTACTTCGATTAGAAGTTGCGCAATAGTGATCAATAAACTGATTCTCCTGTTACTTTCAATTACAGTCTAAGATTCAATTACCAACATGAATAAACAACCGCGATAAGCGTTAGTTGTTCCTAAGATTTTCTACAGTGTAATGGCATAAGATTGGACGCCCATAGCAATTGAGGGTTAATTTCTGCCTGGGCTGCTAATTCAGTTAGAATATTAGTGCAGCAATCGTAATCAATAAACAGAGTTCGATCGCGAGTTACAACGCTAGCCGCTGTGTTAATTGAAATGAATTATCCTCGGGATGTGGTTGCGGGCGTAGCAAGGAACCGGCAGTGGGTGTCTTCAGGGTTCGAGAGTCGGGTCAATTCGTTTCAATTCAGCGCCGGTCGCATTGGATAATGGGACAACATTAGGGTCCATTACCAGCGGAATGGGACAGGAAATTGTTTACGCCAGCGGTTAACGTTGCAACCTCCAGCCGTGGATTCGACAAGCTGAAAAAAAAGAATGATTGAACGAACGAAATAACGAGGAGAAAATTCAAATCGCAATTACTTGGAAGAATAATATAGTGTAATAATATAGATTTCTGCATTGTTTGTATACTTTGTGTATTTAGATGCACCTTGTATTAGTGAAACTGAAACTGAGATGGAAATAAATTTTTGTATTAGACTGGATGTAATGGGTAGTTAACACTAGAACTACCAAATGAGTCAAAATGGCCCATTTCTTGACGTTTTCTTTTGCAATTACTGAAAAGGTACGACTACCTTTTTGAGGAATTACTAAAGAAGCTGATTAAATAATACCTAAACCGAAATTGAAACCAATTCAAACCTTAATAAATTCACATTTGTAGTTTTTGTAAAGAAATTCTCAAAAGTCAATTTAAGGGCTCGGTAATTAGTAGTGTTAAGGATACGCTATTGTCAATTTATTTTTCTGTATGATAAGGGTGTTATAATACATACCGTGAGAACTAGAGAATGTGATAGAATTGAATTAAAAATAATGCTAATCAAAACTGGACAGTGTTAAAATAGAGTAATAAAAGAAATTGTATGAAACAATATCGAAGATATTGTTAGATATTACGCAACACAGAGGAAATACCAAGTATTAACTTCTTCAATTTGATTTTTGGTTATTTACATTGGAGAAAAATTTGTTGCTATGAAGTAATACATAGGTGTAAAATTTGAAAATTGTACAAATTATTATTATTTTCAAAAAGAGGCTTGTAGGAGAAATAATAATTAAAATAAACAATAATTAAATACTAAATAATGATTATTTTACATTTATATTTTTATAAAATAGTTATAATAACTTATTATTATTCCAAAATCATATTCACATGTTTCCTATAACTCCTCAACTCAATATTATATATGTCTGAAGGTTTAGTGTTCCTATTTTGAAGTATCTAATACAGAGAATGTGTAAAACATGTACAGAAATGAAATTCATTTTATCACGAACCATTTTATCCTGCATTGTACAGGAAGCATTCTGTAGATGTCCTTCCGCTTAATAGAATGAACTTCAGGATGAACTGGCAACGCGAAAGGATTGCTAGGCTCATCATGGTCAAGGTAATGCCAAGTGGCTACGTATACTGCATTCCTAGTGTCTACAAAATTAGGTCGTAGTTTGAGCGAATCCGCTTGTCTTATATAACTTATGCGGCAAAATTCAATCGCTGCCTCCCCCGTGTCTTGTATCATTCGTCTTCTATGACTTCCGGGTGCGTCACGGTTTTCGATCCAACGGTTGTCCCAGTTCGCCAGGCGGGAAGAATGGTTACTGTCATAAGCTAAAAATGCACGGAGATCTCCAGCCTATTTATAATTTTCAACGACGTTATCCACTGAGCAGCGGCGCGCACGTCGTGTTCGATTTCATTCGAATGATTGCATTCAACTTATCCTTCATTTCCCTTCCCCGTATTTCATAATCCCCTAAATTAATTTCACATCACTGAACGTTCATTCGCTTGCCACGATATAGCATTTAATTTCAAGCTAATCACATTTGACACCCTCGGAACGAACTTCGCAAATTAACGAATATAAACGTCATCTAACGGTGAGAACATGAAATAAACGAGCAACGAGAATCGCAGGGGAAAATCACCCCTATGCACTGACCCATAAAAAATTCAAATAAAAAGTTAAACGTTCGATAACAGGTGTCTTGACAACTGACAGTATTCAATATTCACATGCAACCTAGTTTTACCTAGCAAATCTAACTATACACCCAACTCCTTTACTTCAGAACCATAGAAGAATATTGAGAAATCTCAAGTGCTCGAACGTCTCAAGAACCTTAATCAATATCCGTTATATCGGATCCTTCGAGATCGCCGTGTAAATCGTGACACGTACCACTCGCGCGTACAAAGTGACACGAGCAACCGGCGCAGGAAGTCGGCGATCATAGAACGACTTCCGGTGTCATCTAGGGGAGAAAGGGGGGCACGGTTACATAGTTTCGAGAGAAATAGGGAGATCGAAGATATCGAGATCGAGAGTGAGGGTTGCGGCTCGAGTCCCGGTGACCTCGAAACGAAGACGATCCCGCAGCCCGACTACTCTGGAGGATCGATAATCGCACCGCCATTCGTGGACACATACGACACACGATGCAGATGCTCGGCTTGTGCCGCTTCCGTCTCAGTAGCCGGACTAGCACACATTTATCAAAAACCTTCCTCGAATCCTTTCCGATCGGAATCATCGAGAATCCCTCGTACAATTAAATACAAACTCATAGCACCGGCGAATTAAAACGCAGAATTCACCGATATTATGATCTCGCCTAATAGGCCGCGGTAATCTTGGAAAAACGGAACTTTGTCCGGATCAGCCGAGATCTAGATCGACGTAGGTCTGCACGCGCCGTCTATGGGTAAACGACAGCTAAAACTTACCCACCTCTTCGCAGGATGCTCGAACGAGAAGCGAGTCTTTCAACATTCCCAGCAGCAGGCGGTTTCACCGAGATATCGCCCCTTCAGTGTGTGTTTTCACGGGAATGAGACGCGCAGCAACCCGGGGGCTGATTTCAGATTGTAAAACGCCGGTCGTTCGGCGACACACACCCGCACTCACACAGACACTTCGGGTGGGGACACAAGGGAACCCTGTTCGAAGCCGCTTCCTCGACACACGATCCAACGAACCTCGCCGCGACGCGATCTACGAAACGCTCACCTGCACTTTGAAAACACTCGATGGAACGGAAGCTGCCATACTACTGCGCGCAAACCGATCACCTGCTGCCATCTGGACGGGCTCGCCGGGAACATGGCAGCGTTGTCGGTGGCGACGCCAACTGGAGGGAACTACGTTCTTTCATTTATCGATTGTACCCTTCGAATAAAAAAAAATGTCATTTTTGAACTAGGAATCTATGTTTTTCCTTTGTTTATCAACATCGGTGCTATGTTAGTTAGTTGATGCTTATGATAAATGAGATTTGAAGATTGAATGAGAAAAATGCCGGAAATAAAGGGACGGGTAGTGGCGGGAAAATATGTTCGTTTCCAAGTTACGTCAACGATCGTTTCGAGCTGTAATAATTATAATATTCGACCAGAAAATAGATTTCCCCCCACGATTTCCCTAGATCTGGAAAATTCCTATTATACGGTTTTTTAAACGCGCGTGAACGTTACGTAGAATTCGAAACGTTTTATCGAGAAGTACGTCGATGAATTGAATAAAGATATTATGGTAAATTGTGCGTGGACGTATAGTTATTTTGGAGAAAAATGCGATAGGGATTAAAGTACAGTGGTAAGGTTGGAATTTAAATGAACCGATCGATAAAGGAGCGTCGCAACGGTGCTCTAGAAAAATCGAAACGAGCGACGGCCATCTTGGATCACGCGAGCTTTGTTTGCGCCAACTTCATGCAACAGTCGCATTTCTCTACTTTTTCGCGAGATTGTCGCTTCTCGTTCGCACTGTGTCTGTCCTGAATCCGAAACGAAAACAACGGTTTGCTTTTCTCGTGGAAAATTTGTCGCTGAGTGTACTGGCGTGGACGTAGCAGGAGCCACTTCTTGGTAAGTCGAGAATATTGTGTCTTTTCCGGAAAATTGGCAGGAAACTGCGACTCGTCGACGGGGAACATCGTTCTTTGGCGAGGCTAACGTATCCCGCGAGACATTTTCGAGAATTACACGGTTCCCGTTCTTGTCTGGTGCGGGTTATCGCACGATTAGACGTTCTCGTAATCGTAACGAACCTTAGAACCTATGACAATGCATTTTTCGACGTACTCGACGACGTTGAACCCGAAAGTAACTTCAAGAGCTTTCCGTGAAACTACTCTTGTCATTTCCAGTATCCATCAACCTTGTTTTTGACGCACTGTTGCTAGGTTTTAAGTAAAATACTCCATTTATTATCGGAAATCGCCTGTATTTGACACATTGTTATTTAAAATGGACTTCTAAGGATCTTAATGGGAATATTTGATGAATTTTCGCTCTAAATTCGTGAATTTCTACAGACTCTCTAAAATACACACATGCTGCTAGTGGGTGGAATGATTGTTTTGATGCGAGTTTCTTGGAATCATTTCTGTACACGTAGTTGGTTATGATACAGTCATCTGTGATGACTTATCTCTCGATGAGAATATTGTACGATTGACAGGTTTCCTTTACATTCAAGCGTCGAGTGACTATTGATCAACAATATTTCTTCGCACAATAGTATTACATATTGATGTACAGTAGTTTTACCATGCAATAGACATGGCATAGTGATTGACATTTCTTTGAAAACTTCCAAAGGTCGATAATTTCTTGTTAACCCTTGAAAAGGTTTTCAAAGTTCATTTCATCTAACTGTCTTATTGATTTCCATCGATGTTGAGCTTAAAATAAGTATCTCTTTCTATTATTCTATAGTCTTTAAACACATACTCCAATATCAATGTAGTACACAGTATTAATTACAGGTACTTATCTCTTCCACTAACCAATAACAATTCAACGCCAAGGTATATTCAAATAGACGCCAAATTGTACTTCGTACAGGAACCAGTTCTCCATGTTCCCATGGTTCCATCGCTAAGGAGCTGCTTGAAACATTGTTATCTGGTGACCCTGTAACGTTTGTTATTACCGAGAGCAGCAGATAATTTAGGTGACAGTAGCAGTGACACAGAACACGGAATCCCACAACAATCTTCCTCCTCTACTATCGTTACAAGAAAACAACAGCTGCGCAATAAGAATGAAAATTGAAATACAATTACCGCATTCTGTCTACGCAGAGTGTAACAGATCCCACGACCACTGGGATGCTTTAAAGTCAGGAAGCGGATCATCGACCGCAAATTATCGCGGCCACGCGAATCTTCCTCTCTCCCTTGATTGTTTAAGCTTAATTGCTCGGTTCTTTCATTGCCTTTCTATTTCAATTACTCCGTATCTCTTCAACGCTGCCCCCGGCCTCTGCAAGAGGCAATGCAAGGATTTCTATTGGAGACAGGTGGTCGCCTACTGGAGCACGGTCGGCTGAAACGGTTTCGTAACGGCCCATGTTCTTTCATTATCAAACAACGCGACCCGCTCCCGTACGGCAGCCAATTATGCGTGCGACGGAAGGCGAAACAAAGCCGTTCTCATCGCGTCTCCCATCGGCATTGATAATCACCGTTCACCGAGCAATTAACACCGTTAACTGTGAACACCTAACGCGTGTAAATGACGGGGACTCCCCGCGGTTGACCCGTGATCGGCCGCCAGGCAATTGGAATTCAGAAGGACAACGCTCGCCACTGCAACATGTTGATGAACTCTTTGTTAGGAATCCTTTACCGTTAACGACGCCCGGCCCGCGCCGTCTATTTCTGGCCCATCGATTTCTCTGTGGATACCGTGCAAATAGATTCTACTGGCATCGCGGTGCACGGTCGCGCAATGTTGTGCAACGCCGCGCACTTAAAATACCGCCCTTCACCCTTTTTCTTTTTCACTCTTAATCGCCCGCGAACGGCCCCAACGGCGGCACAGAATTTCGTCGGCGCGGCGCGCGTCGTTTCGGGGAGACAATAACGCAACACGTGTTGCGCTAGGTCGGGGCTAGAAAATGTCGGTTAAAAGGCCAATGAAAGGGTCTAGGACGGCTTCGACGGCCGCGGTTAATTTTAGTTGCATATCACTCCCTCCGCTGGGAACCCGGGAACGACTGCGTTCGCTTTTGTAGGGTGCTCCCTCGGTGTTGGCCCTTCCCGGCGGTGAATTGACCGGTTTGCTCTAACCGTTGAGAATATTGATTCAAATGGATTAATGGTTCTCTTGGTAATTCAAGGACTCATTATATTAATAGCCTCTTTTGTAAACAAGAAAGACAAATGAATTTTTATCTTCATAGAATATGCAGGTCCTTTTGGAGAACTAAAAATGTGTATACTTGTTGAAGACTACAATAGGAGATTGTCTAAATTGATTATCAACTTTGTTCATGAAGCAGTTTCAAAATTTCTACTTTGTCTATAGCCTTTACAAGTTCTTCTGAGTATTCAGTGACCTTTAATACACTTTAGCATCAATATTCAGGGTTATAATAGTAGATAGTAATATGGTAATTAGCATCTCTGCTAATAAAACGATGTCTGTTATATTCATCAAACTTACAGGTCTTTTCAAAGAACCATGAACTGTTTGTAAACTATCGTATTAATATTCAAGTATCAAATGGTACTTTGTCGGTTAGCAATTCTAATAAAATAAATCAAAAATAAATTTCAGTTTCGTTGATGGATTGTGGGGGGTTCCTTCGAAGCTCCAAAACGGGATTCACAATGAGTACTAAGAGATTCCATTGAATCTCGCTAACAAACTAGAAAAATAGGGTCCCATCGGTGGCGTTGGCCGGAACAAAGAACGCGCCGGGTTCAAGACCGTCTCGCGGGCGACAAAAGAGCATTCCTGGCTACATTTTAAACGGGCAAGGATGCTGGATCCGAATGCCTCGAATCGTTGTCCTTCTGCCGGAGACAAATACGCGAAATCCTTTTTCCTCGATACATCGCTCACTGCCCGAATATGTAAAACTGACGTCACACCTCCTCGGGAGAGCGCAAAAGGACGCCCACATTCTCTCTCTTTCTCTTTCTCTCTCATCGTCTTCCTTCCACTGTTTTACTCATTCAGTTGCTTTTTCCGCGGAAAACCGCAAGGGATTGATCGATTAATTCCCATCTTTGTGCCCTGTCATGAATGATTCGGAATCCTCGAAGGAATACTGGATTGTTGTAACTTCTTTCTTTCAAAGCGGATTGTGGTTGGGGTGGGAAGGAATTGAATAGTAAAGTGAATACTAAACTGAATAATGTAATGAGTAGTAAAGTAAATTGTACAGTAAACAGTACACTAAATAATACAGTGAGTAGTAAAGTAAATAGCGATGCAAATTTTACAGTAAATAGTAAACTAAATAATATAATGAGTACTAAAGTAGATAGTAAAATAAATTGTACGGTAAATAGTAAAGTAAATACCAAAGTAAATAATAAAACAAACAACAATATAAATAGCAAAGTAAACAATAAAATAAACAAGAACCAAATAGTAAACTCTGTTCAAGAACAATCGTTTTAAGGTCAAATAAAGACAATTTTAGGTTTCATTTGGCAGAATAAATGGTTTTAAACAAATTACGTGCGTTGCTGACTAGTTTCAACGGTCAAAACGGAAAACGTATGAATATGCATTTCCTCCTTTTCCGCTCGTTTAAATTTGCATAAATATTATCGAACTCTTAGCGAATTAGCAGCGATAAAACGGCTCGTTACCACAGCCGCGGCGATTATCATTGCTGGATATACGGCTCGGTCGTCGCGTTACCGTTGAAAATCGTAATTCCTCGGCAACGTCAAAGGACATGAATAATGAAATCGCGGCGCGAACTCACGGGACGACCTAATAAGTTGGCTCGCGAGGTTGCGTAGGTCGCCGGTCGTGTTAGTTATCCGCGAGGACTATATCCTCGCCCACGCGCGGTTCGATCTTTCCTTGAAAAACTTTCGATTGAGCGTCAGCCGACGCGGACTTTTTGCATTTCAATTTTTCACGGTGGCCCCGGAAGTTCTCTCTAAATTTCGAAATAATCGCGAATCGCGAGTGAAGGTCTGTAGAGTGTCTGGAGTTATAATATTCGAGTGGAACTATTGTCAACGATCAATTCTGCTGAAACTTGATTGCCAATATACCGTCGTTGAACTGTTATTACTAAAACTACCGAGCATTTAATACGATTAATGTGCAATCCTTATACAAATTGTAACAATAGATTATTTTCGGTTTCTTCAGACATTCATTATAGTATTCAAGTGAAAGTATTTTCAAATATTTCATAATTCAATACTTTGAAATATCAACCATGGCAGAATAAGAAAATTCGAATCCGCCATTTTGACTTTATTTTAATAACTTTCAAAACATTTTATTCTTTTGTTCTTTTCCGTTTGCGACTTCTTTCACAGAGAATTCTCCATTTCAAACAACAGATCGTTGCAATACTAATATTTCGAAACAAACTTTTTAATTTTTTCCTCTGTTTCAACGATAGTAACTTGCGGCAATCAGCTAATTAAGCATTTCTTCATTTCTACTGGTAATGAGTATTAGAAAAGCGAAAAACTTTCCGGTCGCGAATGTGATAATACGTCAACTGCCGCCAGGATGTTTATCGTTTAATATAACTCATTGTTTCGCAACGAAGGGAAACAGAATTAATTAACATTTAAAAAGAAATTAATTATTAATGATTTGGTATCATAGCTTTGGTTATACTATTTCACTTCAATCAATTTTGACGTAAGTTTTCTTCTTGCAATTGTTTTCAAGCAATACGAAAACTATAGTCATCGGTGACCTCTGTCGCGGTCAATGTGTGAATAATTCATTGAAAAAAAGCTAAGTTCTAGGCATAAGCTGTGTCTATGTTTGTTTTAAACTATAACCGTTGATAATAGAGAAATAATATTTCATTTGAATTCGAAAGAATTGGCTAATATTTATATTTGTTAAATTCTACTTGAAATCGT